CTCACACACACACACACACACACACACACACACACACACACACACACACACTTGCACACATACTGTATGATGATGTATGATTCCATAAATAGCCACTTCCTTCCTTTTTGGCTGATTGCCGTCCCCTTCCCCCTCCTCCTCTTCACCATGGGAATGCTGATCCCAGAGGAAGGAGCACGCACGTAGGAAAAAGGTGAAAAAGAGGACAACAACTAGGATATATAATAATACGATAAGGAAAGACTGGATTTATTTAAGTGGCATGGAAATTCAAATTGCAACTCTGCAAATCGTGTAGATATCCAGTATGTTCATATAATCATAGTATTATAACTCGTCCTTTTTTCCAATATTCTAATATTTCTCTTTTTTTCTTGGTCTATCTGTTCCTCCCTTTCTCTCGCTCGCTCATTAATCTCTCTCACACATTTGCTCTCGCACTCTCTTTCGGACACACTCTCTCCACTGGCTCTCTTTTCTCTTGTGAAATGTAACTATTCATCTTGTGACCTTAACGAGACAGGCGGATTGATTTAAGTAGACACCACGTGAGTGTGTGTGTGTGATGTATGTGTGTGTGTGTGATATAGACGGAGAGAGATTGTGACAAACACAATTAAATGTACAATGACACACTCCCTCTTGCTTTTTATTTATCTCCCTCTCACCCTCTCTTTCTCTCTCACAACTAGCCCTTAGATGCTATGTACACAGAGCCAAATGGTGATGTCACAATGGATCTCACTCAGTGTCCACACAAGCTATTACACACCAACACTTTAATGTAGCCTGCGTCTGTGTGTGTGTGTGTGTGTGTGTGTGTGTGTGTGTGTGTGTGTGTGTGTGTGTGTGTGTGTGTGTGTGTGTGTGTGTGTGTGTGTGTGTGTGTGTTGTTTGTTTTATTTTTCTGTGTGGGTGGTGTGTTACCAGAACATACACTTAGCATATTTAACTGACTCATAATGATGGCTTGTGGGTCTGTGTTTGTGTGTCTGTTAGTGTGTGTAAAGAGGCGGCAAAAGCAGTTAGTGGCCAGACATTCACTTATGCACTGGAATTGAAGACATTGAACCTTAAATTAAAATGTGATCATGTTCATTTTTCTATATTTTTGTCATTATTTTTTTAATTTTAAAGTGTGACTTATCTAAGACAAACCTCAGAATGGAAGTTGTTAGGCAAGTTTTGTTAGTGGGAATTTTGTTTAATTATATTTGTCACGTCTGCCCCCTTCAGCAGGATTAGAGTTGTCATTACTGCATCTAAAATTGGAAAGCTGGAGAGAATAGAGACATTTTAGCAATGACTATGTACAAAATGCACTTATTATGTCAAGCTGTATTTGTTTAGATGTATGAATCAAGAAGTGTTTGTTCCTTGACTGTCCTTGCTTACTCCATTTGAGTGGATGATTCTCGCCACCATCATTGCCAACTGCATTGTCTTGGCTCTGGAGCAACATTTGCCTGATGGGGACAAGACGCCGCTGTCTGAGCGCCTGGTGAGTTAAACAGGCGTGACACAGTGTGTGAGCCATATGTAAACACCACTCAACCCAGGTGACAGCTCTGACTACTTATTGATTTTACTTCAGTGGAGATGCATGCAGCTACTCAGCTTATAGACACATTTAAAGCAATGATTTGTTTCACCTTGAAAACATGTAATGATCCAGATGTGCAATACAACACATTATCAATAATACATTAAGATTCCAAATGATTATACAAAATACACAAACTATTACTCTTAATCCATTAATATACTAAGTAAGAAAATAAATTCTCTACCATCTCTACGTTGCTACACATTCTTATGAAAACATTTCTTCTGAACACACATTTATCTAGCTACCGATTGGTGTCTGGCTTTGTCTCTGTCTACTTATATCCCTTTAAACCTTTCTTCCATCCTTTTCCTTTCTCCCTTCATTAACCCCCTTGCTTTCTTTACTCTCTGTCCCTCTTCAGGATGATACAGAGCCGTACTTCATTGGGATCTTCTGTTTTGAGTCTGGAATAAAGATCCTGGCGCTCGGTTTCGCCTTCCACAAGAACTCCTACCTGAGGAATGGTTGGAACGTCATGGACTTTGTGGTGGTGTGCACAGGGTGAGTGGCAAACAAATAGACAATAGCCCTACCTGTCACAAAACACACACATGCAGGGTGTCCGCGGGGTCTTAAAAAGTATTAAAAGTTGATAAAACAATTTAGCGAAAATTAAGGCTATTAAAAAGTATTAAAAAGTATTAAACGGCATTTTCCAAGGTATTAAATGTTGTAGCTTGTTTTCAATAAGTATATAAATTGTCCAAAGAGGTTGTATTCTACAGTTTGCCTGAATGTAATCATTGCAGGTGTGTAGTGTGATTCTGTGTAGTTTATTTATGGCATCCCGTTGGGTTTGACGTCATCTGAACAGGACATCGCACGCTCACTGCTTGATAGCGCGCGAAGGTCCGTTTACGCCGGTTGCTAAGCAACATCGTTATGGGGAAATGCAAGTCTGCGTCCAAATGGTTGGAAGATAAGGAGGAAGGACAATCAATACTGTATATAGTCAATATGAAGTAAAGTCTGTCGCCAATGTAACCGGTTAAAACTCGAAGTGGCGATGAGGTCTTAAAATGTATGGAAAGGGTCTTAAAAAAGGTCTTAAAAGGTATTACATCTGACTTCAGGATTCCTGCATATACTCTACCCTGAGTACATGTATATTAAGTACCTGCATGAACACTTACAAATGCACACACACATATATAAAAGATCATAATATGATGTTGTTCAACTTAAACAGAAGAACAGGGTCGTTTATCATGTGCTTTAGTGCTGGTTTGAACATGTGTATGTCTGTGAGGGTCCTACCGCTGCTCCTTTGCCCTAATCAAGGGCCCCATTCTGGGCAAGGCAGCAGGCAGATCACAGAGCAGAACTGCAGGCAGCCAGCAGCCTGGGTAGCGAGCAAATGTCACCATGATGTACACAGACAAAGAGGGGGTGGGGGTCACAGAGGAAAGAGACATCAGATAGAAGGAGTGAAAAGGGGATGTGCAAAATGAACAGGTGTTTGTAGACAGAGAAGCAAAGGGATTGAATGGAAAGAGACAATTGAAGAATGCAGGGAGTGAAGAAAACCAGGCGTGATTTGTCCAGATGTTTTCCCAACACAAGTCTATCTTATAATTCATCATTTTAACTGTAAATTGACATTCAGTCTTTAAAGACACTTTCTCTTGAATGTAAATATTGCAGGCTGTGTGGTGTTTACAACTGTGACAACGCTGGTGTGTGGGGGCAGTTTTTGTTAAATGATTAATGGGATTTACACGACTGTAATTGCATAAGTGATCGGTTAGGGAGAAGAGAAAAAACTGTATTGAATGTGTGTCTTATTGTTGATGTGAGAATACTCTCAGTTAACTGAACCACACAACTGATGTTCTCTATACAGTAGTTGTCTTAAGACATTCACAAAGCTTAATAACTCTTTTCTGATAATAACAACACACTCTGGTTCTCATTTTTTCTTTTGCTAATTGTGAAATACATTGATTCTGATAGCATAGAGTACATGAATCATTCGACATGCCACATAGGGAAACTGTTACTATGCTACTGTGTCCAATACAATGAGATGTGGGAGTTCTGGCGCAGGTTCATATGTTGAGGTCACTGCATATTATGGTTATTTGGGAGCTTTATATGTTACATAAACCTTCCACATATTTGCTGACAAAGCACCAGAGAAACTGGTGATTGCCCCCCTCTGCCTACCTCTATCTCTTTTTCTCACACACATTTGCCGTATGGCAGTATGTCCTTATGCTTCAATAATAAGAGTAATCATGAATCCAAGCCCTTCCCGGCATTGCAAATAAGAGAGACGAGGGGTGAGAAGATGAGTGTCGGCGAGACAGCAGGAAGTAGCGCGATGCAGAGAGGAGGGAGGAGAGGAAGAACAGGGAGAGCAGAGGGAAGTGAAGCAGTCCTTAACTTCCAAGAAACGCCTGGTCTCACATAATCCCCCCCCCCCCTGTGTTTTTTAAGAGGACATCTAATGTTTTGACAGTGAAACCCTCTGAGCAAGCATGACACAGCAGTTTAATAATCTGTGCTGCTAGGCACAGGCATAGCTGGTGTTGTGTGAGATGTTGTTACATCAGGCAAGCAGAATGTTATGGTTTTACTGACAATGTACCTCTAAAGTGAACCTGCAAAGCACTTCCTGATATGATAGCAATCACAGGCATTGGTTTCTTTAGACTATTTTCAAAGTGTCCTGGCTTTGAAGTTAAAACGCATGTTCATGGCCATCTTAGATGTCTCGAGAAAATAGATGGAAACTAGGCTTAAATATTGTCTTGGATCTCTCTTCCTTTATCTCGTATTTTTTGTAATGAAATGAGAAAAATTATGCACGGACGACCATTTCCTCTTATAGTGTCAACCATATTGCAATTGCAATCAGTCAAAAATGATCGCAAGACATTGGTTCACAACTGTTTATCCTTATTATCATTATAGGAATGAAAAGTGCACCAACATGGTTTGTTAGATTTTCAAAACATTTGACAAAAAATTAGATTTTTTCGGTAGAAGTAAAGTCCAAGAAGAGACACATTGCTCTCTGCAACCATGAAGAGTCACTGGAAATAACACTGTCTGAATTGTTAAAAAAATATCATGAGGCACTACTTTAAGAAAACAGATAGGCCTATAGACTGAGGAAAGCTAGCAATATGTCAAAAAGGAGTAAAAATGAATTAAAAAAAACATATAAGTACTCAGCAATGTAAACAACAGTCACGCAACACACCCAGCTTTGTAACCATTTTGCAGAGAGGCAGGAAGCTGCAGCAAGAAATGCAGACAGAGAATATGCTGCAGCACTTACAACACACATACTGTATATTCCCATGATACATTATGTACACTGACTGAAGTCAATACATTGTACACACACACCCACACACACCCACACACACACACACACACACACACACACACACACACACACACACACACACACACACACACACACACACACACACACACACGCACACATCCTTTGTCGTGCTCTCGATGAATGGGGGTTGTGTTTTCAGCAGTGCTGCTCTTTGAAGATGAAAGGCTACTTGGCCTTTCTGTCCACCCTTGGACGGAACCTTTGATAACACTCTGACCAATGCACGCACACAAATCCACATACACCAATCAACACACTCACATTTCCACATCAAACATTCCTTTCCATTTCCTACTCAATCCTAGGGCATTTGTACGACGGAGTATTAGGGCCACACTTAGAAGAAGAAAAAACAGAGATTTCGAGATTAAAGTCGTAATATTACGAGAATAAAATCATAATGTTACGAGATTAAATCCGTAGTTTCATAAGTGACTTGAGAAGCGGACTTGGAGGAGATTGTCTCCTTTCTGCAGGAGGAAATGGCTGGTTCTGGCCGACTACATTACATTACATTGCATTTAGCTTTTATCCAAAGACAGCAGAATCCTATAAGTACATCAGGTTTCAGTTTTCAGTCTGGGCCGGAAGATGTGTAAGCTTTCTGCTGTCCTGATTTCAATGGGGAGCTCATTCCGATTCCACTACAAGGCCATCGTTCGACTCCTTCTGGATACAAAGCCTTGATTACAAGTCTCATCGTTTCTTGTGAAACAACAAATCCCCTTTGAACAGCTCGTAGATGTAAGCAACGATAGCCTTAGTTGTAGTCGGCCAGAACCATCTATTTCCTCCTGCAGAAAGGAGACAATCTCCTCCAAGTCCGTTTGGTTCTTTCTTCGAAATAATAGACATAGTTACTTGCACAACCTATTCAAAGTGTTAATAATTATGATAATCTGATGCTGATGTGACAAAAGATTAAGTATTTTGTTATTTGAGAAACCTAAACTAAAATACTGCTTCACAAGATGCTCCACATTCCTCATTGTATTGCAGGACGCTGCTGTCGTCTCCTTCTCAAGTCACTTATGAAACTTAATCCATAGACTGTATATATAAAGCTTTAATCTCGTAACTATAACTTTATTTTCGTATTATTACGACTTTATTCTCGAAATCTCTGTTGTTTTTGTATAAGTGTGGCCCTAATACTCCGTCGTACATTTGCTCGTGCGACATACAAAGGAAAAAACACACATGGCTCTAAACATGTCTGAATAGAATAGATATTCACTCCACAACCTTGTTGGATGTTAGCAGATTTGTGTGCACTCTTGTTTCTCTGCCCAAGTGTGTGCGTTGACCTATCTCTTGTAGTAAATTGCCTGAGTGATTTGGCCCTGGGAATAAGCTAGTTGTTTTTTTTATGCCAAGTATTGATTATTAGTCCAATTACCCTTAGTTTACAGCCAGTCTCGACTCGCCTCCTCCCTCCATCTCTCCTTCTTGTTCCTTCATTCAGGTTTGTTTATTGTGAAAAACAGCTGACACATTGAGATAATTAAAAACTGATTAGATCATGGAGGCATTACTTTCAGTTCTGTCATTGTTTAGAGTTGTACCGAATAGATTTCTGATATAAAGCTGTGTGTTTGACATTTTCTTAACCTTTAATTGTCTTTGAAGTTACGTGACGTTAAACATAATGTCATTAAAAGGAATGATACAATATTAGTATGTGAGGCAGGATATAAAGTTAATACGAGAGGAAATGTATAATTATGCAGATACATGTTATTATGTAATCGTGGTATCATACGAAAGCAAGGAGATAAGAAAAAGTGGAAAGTTTGGAGGGGAGATGAAGCGATTTGGTCAGTGATGTGGACAAAGATAATTAGCCACATTTAGCTGAAGTCAGCAGGAAAGCAGGCGGAGGGAGCAGGCGAAAAAAGATGGTGTTTGTATAATGGTGTCCCATGAGAGCGGGTTGGTGGGGAGATTGTGTAATATTGCTTAATGTGATTGTCCTGAATCATTTGTGTGCCTCTGTATAAAGTGCAGGTGTGTTTATCTGTGTATAAGATGTGCGCTAGGCAGCTTCTCTGTCCCTGACGACATTTGTATCCATTGGTTATTACAAATGACCTACTTTCTAGTGTGCATATGTGAATACAATCATTCACACTCAATATGTTCTCCAA